AATGAAAGGTGTCACCATCCCCATTGACGAATAAGAGGTGGCACGGGTTGTAGAGTAGGCGCAGGCTAGGTGACAGCCTTGGAGAAGCCATGCCTGAATGCATGTAACACTATTGGAGGTGATGGGAGGAGACTTACAGGTTACAGTGTAGGTGAAGAGTAGGCGCAGGCTAGGTGGAATCCTTGGAGAAGCCATGCCTGAATGTATGTAACACTATTGGAGGTAATGGGAGGAGACTTACAGGTTACAGTGTAGGTGCAGGCTAGGTGGCAGCCTTAGAGAAGGCATCTCTGCATGCATGTAACACGATTGGACATTAAGGGAGGCGCCATTGGACTTGGCGAAAGAGTACAAAAATGAAAGGTGTCGCCATCCCCATTGGCGAATAAGAGGTGGCACGGGTTGCAGAGTAGGCGCAGGCTAGGTGATAACCTTGGAGAAGCCATGCCTGAATGCATGTAACACTATTGGAGGTGATGGGAGGAGACTTACAGGTTACAGTGTAGGTGAAGAGTAGGCGCAGGCTAGGTGGCAGCCTTGGAGAAGCCATGCCTGAATGCATGTAACACTATTGTAGGTGATGGGAGGAGACTTACAGGTTGCAGTGTAGGTGCAGAGTAGGCGCAGGCTAAGTGGCAGCCTTGGAGAAGGCATCTCTGCATGCATGTAACACGATTAGACATTAAGGGAGGCGCCATTGGACTTGGCGAAAGAGTACAAAAATGAAAGGTTTCACCATCCCCATTGGAGAATAAGAGGTGGCACGAGTTGCAGAGTAGGCGCAGGCTAGGTGACAGCCTTGGAGAAGCCATTCCTGAATGCATGTAACACTATTGGAGGTGATGGGAGGAGACTTACAGGTTACAGTATAGGTGCAGAGTAGGTGCAGGCTAGGTGGCAGCCTTGGAGAAGGCATCTTTGCATGCATGTAACACGATTGAACATTAAGGGAGGCGCCATTGGACTTGGCGAAAGAGTACAAAAATGAAAGGTATCGCCATCCCTATTGGCGAATAAGAGGTGGCACGGGTTGCAGAGTAGGCGCAGGCTAGGTGACAACCTTGGAGAAGCCATGCCTGAATGCATGTAACACTATTGGAGGTGATGGGAGGAGACTTACAGGTTACATTGTAGGTGCAAAGTAGGCGCAGGCTAGGTGGCAGCCTTGGAGGTTACAACCTTACTTAATTCAAATTCAGTATGACCTATTTAGTCTTACATTTATCAAAACACTGATTCACTTAATCTGTCAAACCTTCCAACCTTCAAACCTTCATACAATGAAACCTTCAAACCTTCAAACAATCAAACATACAAACCTTCGAATAACTCATAAACTTCAAACCTTCCAACCTTTAAACCTTCAAACAACCATACGCAATGGCCTCTGCACCCCAATATGTCATCAATGCACATTTCAACGGTGAGACATACATTTGTCCCACCTCTGGGTTTTTGTTTAGAGACACAGACAACATCTGATTTCTTTTAAACGGGAAAGCCAATTTCTCGTACTTCAAAAAATGATTGGAGGCCAAACTTGGATGAGGCCCGGTGACACAAATATTTTATCAGAATCCAGTTTTTTTTTGGTAACAACCAAATAATATTTTATAAGGTTGAGGTTCAAGATGACGAGGATCTTCAGAATATGTTTTCTAGTCATATGTATTATGGGTACGACTCTATTGAGTTGTACATTATGCTACGAGAGCCTCATGTGACACATGTGGTTGATCCTTTGGAGACCGAACAAGCAGATGTAGATGCAGTTGATGAAGAAGAATAAGATGACGAGTTAGAGTTTGATGAAATGGTGAATGATGACTCCGAAGACGATGGGATACCTGGTATTCCTGCAAATGAGATCTACACACCACCTCCGCACATGACAAACTTCAACATGGGCGGAGATGAACCATCTTCTGATTTATTTTTCAATCCGTATATACAGTCAGATGAAAACTTAAAAGAGAAGGACAAGTTTCGTAACAGAGGGGAATGCATCAGAGCCATAAAAAAATTCCACATGCTCAACTCGGTCAATTTTAAGGTGGACCGTGTCAACTCATAAAGGTACAAGATCAAGTGTGTCCACCCTGATTGTATGTTGAAGCTCACTGTATCATACAAATTAAGAGGTGATTGCTGGATCATATGTTCCATGTCTACCCACACTTGTGTCAGTTCTACCCAATCACATGACCATCGAAAACTTATCTACGATCTCATTTGTCAAGAAATCCTACCACTCGTCAGCAACGACCCATCTTTGAAGGTGAAAACCATCATCTCCCACATCACTATGGTTTTTAACTATACTCCGTCTTACCGTAAGGCGTGGTTAGCAAAGACCAAGGCGATTGAAAAGGTGTACGGAAACTGGGAGGAGTCATACCAAGAACTTCCTCGCTACCTGAATGCACTCAAGACTTATTCTCCGGGTACTATTTACATTCTGGAAACAGTGCCAGCATACGCCCAATATGGTAGTCAACTAAACGGAAATGGAATATTCAGTCGAGTGTTTTGGGCATTTCAACCTTGCATCACAGGGTTTGCATCATGCAAACCAATTATACAAATTGATGGGACTTGGTTGTATGGGAAATACAAAGGCACGCTACTGATGGCAGTTGCACAAGATGGCAACAATAACATTTTCCCAATTGCCTTTTCCCTAGTCGAGGGGGAGACCAATGGTGCTTGGATCTTTTTTCTGAAAATCCTGCGAACACACGTGGATCCTCAACCAGATCTCTGCTTGATCTCAAACAGATATGCATCCATTGAAAGTGCCTACAATAATCCTGCAAACGGTTGGCATGACCCTCCTTTTACGCATGTCTATTGCGTTAGACATATCGTCCAAAATTTCACGAGGGAGATCAAGGACAAAACACTAAGGAAAGCGGTTATGAATGCGGGATATGCATTGACACAACCCACGTTCAAATATTACTGCAACGATATCCGTTTGTCAAATCCGGAAGCCGGTAGGTGGATCAACAATATTTCGGTGGAAAATTGGACTAGGTCATACGACAACGGCCAAAGATGGGGGCACATGACAACAAATCTAATTGAATCGATGAATGGGGTATTCAAAGGCATACGAAACCTCCCGATCACTGCTTTGGTAAAATCTACGTATTTTAGGATGGCTTCGTTGTTTGCCAAAAGAGGTGAAATGTGGAATGCAGTGTTGCAATCTGGACAACTATGGAGTGAAAGCTGCATGAAGTACATTAAGGCAGAAAGTGCCAAAGCCAACACTCATATGGTTATATGGTTTGACCGACACAACCAAAACTTCATTGTGAAAGAGACAATCGACCACAACGAGGGCCTGTCAAGACAAGAATATAGGGTTGTACTACCTTCTCGTTGGTGCGATTGTGGCAAGTTTCAAGCCTTTCGTATGTCTTGCTCTCATGTCATTGCCGCTTGTGCTTATACCCATCAAGACGCGCTACAACTTCTGTCACACATTTAAAAATCTGAAACGTTGCTCAACGTTTACAACAACAGCTTTCCTTTGGTAGCAAAACCAGATTATTGGCCTGCATACGGCGGCGAAATAGTGTGGCACAATGACCAAATGCGAAGGAACAAGAAGGGTCGTCCCAAAAGTAAGCGCATCACAACCGAAATGGACTCCCTTGACAAACTGGAAAAAAAGTGTGGTTTATGCCGTCAGGTTGGACACAATCGCAAAAATTGTCTGAATCAGACATCTGCCTCGACCACATAAAAATTGTAATACATAAAATCTTTCCTTAATTATGTTGTAAACATTAGGGTTTTTCGTTAACAGTATTTGCTACAATAAACATTGCGAGTACAAGAAAAAAACACGATATTCCGTCTACAAAATTACAATTGTTAAAACAATTTAATCTGACCCATGCATCATCAACATTACGTCGCTGTCTATTTTGACTTCCTCCAACCATATATTAGGTCTTCCTGTCGCATGTGAGGTTGTTGTTCGTCTTCGTTGGATCCTTCGAATTTCCCCCCCTCCATAATGTCTCCATCTAGCCATCGCATCAACTCCCGCTTCAGACGCTCCATGGAGTGAATGTGCCAGAATTTCATTTTCATCGCAGGTTTCGTGGCGAAGAAGATAACGTAACCATCTCTGGTAAAAATCATGGGCGATGTCATGACGCAAATAACAGAGTAAAAAATAAGAAAACAGTGCGAGAAAGTGTGAGAAATGACGGAGAAACGGAAGAATTATTTATAAAAATAGCATTTTGCCCTAGGAGCCAAGTGAGATGGCGCCTCCTCTCACTTTTAAAGTGCATGCGCCATCTCACTTGACTAAAAGAGAGAGGAGGCGCCAAGTGAGATGGCGCCTAGGGCAAAAAGCTTGGTGGAGGCGCCAAGTGAGATGACTCCTCCTTTAGAGAGTCATCTGAAACATGATTATTTGCATAATTTTTTCCGAAATGTGATTATTTGCAAATTTTTTTTTTAATATTTGGTTATTCAAAAAAAAATTCTCACATACACATCTTCAAACTTCAAACTAATTTTTAACAAAAATGAAATGACTACTGAATTTATGAAAAACTAAATGATTTAAGGTGCACAAAGAGATTCTCCTCAAAAAAACACATGAGAATAATTTCTAGTTTTCATCAGAGATGTGACACATCTAAAAGTGAAAAAAGAAATTTCCATACTAAAAACCAAGTCTGGTAAAAAAAAATGTGCCCAGCCAAAAGGCATGATATATCAGAATAATTAAAAGAAGTATGCTTAAAAAAGGAAAAAGAGAATCTCGAAACACATGAATTTATTCCAATCAATCAAAATAAATAAATATATATAGAGAGAGAGAATGTACAACAATACAAAACACAGATGAAGGTTATTCAGTACATATCAATATATAATTTTAATATCATAATAGACTTTAACACACTCACACATTTGCTTCATATGGATATCGAACACACACACCATGGCGAGAATCTCCCATCAAGAAATTATCTTTTACACTTCTTAATGTACTGATCACAATATTTAGGAGGATTAAGTACACACAACGTACGCAATTTCAAACATGTCCCAAACCCTGGGAAATACCCCAACCCTTTGGCTGTTATATGATATTTGTTAATACCAGCTTCATCTTTCTTCATTTGATTCCCACTTCTTGCACCCTCAACAGCACTATAGCCATTCAGAATGAATGCCATACAAATGACAAGTAGAACAAGTGAACCAGTGGTTTTTCCCATCGTGAACAGATACTTCTTATCGAGATGTTTTAAATGGAGTAAAATTTGCTTCATATCACTCCAAATTATATAGCAATCTTGATTTTCTTAAGTGACTAAATTAAACAATTAATGTGGCTTTGCGTGAGAAAAAGTATTTTGACCAAATTAAGGTAGTTAAACCGTGTGGGAAGCATGCATGGTGTTAAATATGAGGGTTAATATTAATTGTCAAGTTGATTGGTATTGAAGGAACAATTAGAAGTAAACTAGTTCATTGATAGGAAAACTCGTTAACAAACTAGATGAAATATAGGGTGGTGAGTTATGAGCAATTGATTATGTATTTCTACATTTTTCACTTTCACGTGGTTGGTGGTTCTCTTTCAAGGCTTTTATAGATACTCTGCAAGGTGGACATGTAAGGTTAACTTAGTAAATTCAGAAAGATGTAGTTTGTAAGAGAAAGGGAGATAAAACATGTTACGGTGCTTGGCAGGGTTTATATATATACGGTTAAAACCAGGTGTCTTAATTGTTGACAATGTTCCACCTGTTTAGCTATCCTTCGCGATGACCACTTCTATAAAATATATCTATAGTAAAATGTTTTTATCTCGATTAATTAATCAATCCAAGTAAAGGATCTCATTTAGGCACCTGCATTTTATTTTATTTTATTAAAAAATTTATTATAACGGTCCATAATAACAATAGTGGTTATATCAAGATCAACATTTTTCTATTTTTCTATTTTTCTTTACAACAAAGAGAGTGTCTATTAATTTCTATATTTATATAAAATTAAAAATAATTTTACCATGGTGAAATGTTTGTTTAAAATTAAAACACATCAAATTTAGTTTATTTGTTTCAAAACACAAGTGCCCTAGCGAAGAACATAGACTAGAGAAATAGAGAAACTTCCTAACTCCACCACCTTTATCCAAATTCATGTTCTTCAACTTACTATTGTTGCACACACATAAAGGTTGAGTTTTCGTGAAGTCTTTTATCTACACGAAGATTTTACACAAAAGTTTTTTAGTTACAACTTATTCTTCAGTTTACGCTACGTTATCTATTTAATCACCTTTATTATCATTCATGTTGATTTTTATGTTTTGGTGTTGTTAAAAGTTATATTATTGTGAATTAAAATCGATTAGAAAACTATATTTCTATGTAGTGTGTGTATGAACCTTTACAATATTGTTTGAATGTAGGTTATATATATATATATATATATATATATATATATATATATATATATATATATATATATATATATATATATATATATATATATATATATATATATATATATATATATATATATATATATATATATATATATATATATATATATATATATATATATATATGTGAGAGTGTCGCTGTATATATGTGTATGAAAAATATTAGTATGTGAGAATGTTGTGTGAATGTTGTTTTATATAACGATATTACTATGTTTTGTGTAACATTAGTGTGTCATTTGTGTTGTTGAGTTTCAATGATATTAAGATTGATTTTATGTTGTTAGGGATGTTATATATTGTTGTGATTGAATGATATGAAGATGAAGATTGTTTTATAACATGGTTTTATCAAATTATGAAGGAAAAATCAATAGCATATTAGATGTCATTTAAGTCGGATTGGCTGTCGGAACAACAACCAGATCAACTTTATTCATGGTTATAAATTCAAAAGTCAACTTTAACTTATTACTTGGTTGTGAGTAGATCCATGGAATAGGTGATGTCTCGTCAACCTTGCACAAAAGGATTTTTATCTGGAAAAAAGATGGCGTAGTGGAAAATGTAGAAGCTGATCAGAGCTACTACAAAGTCGACGAGGTTAAAGGTGGAAATAAGTCTTTTGACCAATATTTGGTGAATGTAGTGCCTTGTGATGATGAGAATTACAATCCCAATGAAAACTCAAATTGTTTTCTAAGTTTGGATCTCGATTATGGTTTTATATGGAATTCTGAAGAGGCAGCAATGCTTAGGGAATCAATTCCACCAACGGGGTTGTCGGTGGCCGAAAAATTTGACCAGTGAATGATAAGTTTAATTCATAATTTGGCCTATGGTTGAAGGCGTCATAAACACTCGGCTTTAGGAGATGAAAGATGGTTGTCGAAGCTAAAATAAAGCGTTAAGGAAGAGGCCAACAGGGCCTAAAACAACAACTTGAGAAAGTCGGAGGCCAAAATAAGCCTTTGGGGCTTAAACGCCACTTGCTAGTAGGTGTGGAGACGAGATATATCATAATAGGAACTTATGATTGTACTTCTAATTTGTTAAGTTTCAATAAAAAGTTTAAATTAGTTGATGTTGATGTTTTGTTTCATTGTGATAATGTTGTCCAGATCAAAGTCGAAGTGGCTAATGGACATTAACAGCGTTAACTAAATTGTAATTTCAAGGTTTGGATTGGGTTTGCCAACAAAACGATCAATCCTAAAACTAGGGGCATAAGAAATGCAAATATTGAAAAGTTTTGACTATAAATTTTCAAGACTTTCTAATAAAATGGCGGAGGTTCGAATTAATTATTCTAAAAAGTTTTTTCCATTAATATTTTTGCTAGACACGGGATTGTTGAAAACTGGCGAAAGCATCATCATAAGAAAGTCAGTTGATCATACATATGAAATTTGATGTTAGCCAAAAATGGAAAACTCCAAAAGTTAACCATAAGTTTTTCCCAACAAAGGGTTACAGATCCAAAAGTGGGGAGCCAATCTCAACAAAATTTAAAGTGCAACAATAAATATTTTTCAAGCAGGAAAACGAGACTTAAAGTCTTCAAAGTGGGCCCTTTCGAAAACAATTATGTTGTCGAGGAGGGTTTCTTCATTGTCAACTCGCCAATCATTTCTTTAATCTTTAGAGCTTTTGTGCCATGCTCAATGGCTTTCTGAATCTCTTCACTAATCTCATTTTGACTTGGGAGCGCTTCAGTTAAATCCAGCAAGGCCTTCTTGCCTTTGGCGTTAGATAGTTTCTTCTAGAGATCAGATATTTGAGTTTTGTAGGATGAAATCTGCTGAACTAAGGCGGGGCGTTTGTCGGCGCACGCTTGATTTTCAGATTCAAAGGCAGTAAATTTCTCTTCACAAGCTTTTCTGAGACTCCACTCAGCTTCCATGTCGGTATTACTAGCTTGGAGTTGGTTGTAAATTTGTTTGATTAAAGAGTGATCAGTAATAGCTTGGAGGAAGAAGGCGTCAAAATCGATAAGGTACTAAACCTAAGCCTCGGGGATGGTATGCTGAGAGATTTCTTCAAATAATTTGAAAACTTCAACCACCAAATCACTCTCATCGACAGCGACAGAGAGAAAATCACAATTGAGCAGGTACACCTTTAACTGTTGCAATTTGAGAGTCACATCAGGGTCGACACCAGCAACAGAAGAAGTTGTAGAAACATGGACGGCAGGTTCTTGTCATATATTTTAGAGTCTTCGCAATGTCTCAACTGGATGCTTTTGTTTCATTACAATAATTTTTTCCTGACTTAGAGAACTGTTAGAGCTAGTGTCTTGCAGGAGCTTGTTGGTTAGGATTTTCCTGAAGAGGAGTATTAGCAGTAGCAGGTTCTCGATTGGCTTCCGTGTTTTCCTCATTGGTGTGTGCAGTCGAGTAATGAGTATGCCCATTCCTAATTTCGAAGGTGTTAGCTTCTTTGGCTGAAGTTGTGTCAATGGATGGAGTAGTTCCAATCACTTCTTCATGAACTTGTGCCTGAAAATAGTACAAGAGTTAAAGAAGAGTCTATTTGCGTAAAAATAAGTGGTATGAGAAATAACTATATCTTCGATGGGTTGGATGTTTTGTTCTTCTTGAATTGAGATTGTTGGGGTTGGTTGTCGAGGAGGTGAAGTTTCCTCTTGATCATGAGCAGGAGAAGGCAGAGCATCAGCACCAGCAGTTTTAGCTGTTGAGGTGTGGGATTTGAGGATTATTCTTTTGACTTTCTTAGGCCCTTTGGGCTTGGTAGGAGTCGAAGCTTTGTAATAGGAAAAATATGGGAACCATAACTATGGTCGGAAGTGTCTGGAGCGACAAAAGGTTGTGGTTTCCTTTCAGGAACCTAGTAGTATAGAAAATGTTTCAAGTGTTAATCTACAACAATATGAAAAAACACATAAGAGAAATAATGCGTGTATGTACTTGGTAAGTCGAAACTGTGGTCGAAGATCATTTTCGCCCATGGAAAATGGTAGAATGAGATCACAAAAACCTATGAGAATGATTAAATTTAAATATTGAAAAGAAGCAAAGGTGCCTTGGTGGGTTTAACTTCAACAACATCAAGATTTTGTCGTTGGTCAACAGTCGAAGCCTATATTTCCCAAGCCTCGAAAGCATCTATTAGTCTTTGTAAAAAGGAGGTAGCAGAAAAGTATTGTGTCTGGTATTGAGGCCACAAATTACCGAATTCTTTGGTGTGAAAGAAAGAAGATTTAAACGGGAACACAGGAAGTTCAAGATGCGGAGATTTTATCATATAGTAGAGACATTCTGTGTATTCTTCTTTACCCAATTTCCACCCAAACCAAAGGATATTCCGAGGATGTGAGAACAAAGAGTTTGGCATCATTTGGCTAAGAATAAATTGTCGAGAAACCAAATTTGGTTGGTACATTACAAATCCATAACCTTTGGATCTGGTGTTAATGCGAGAGGAAAAGAAGGTAGGAGTTAAAAATTATCTCCACATAGCATTTGATCTAGCATCCGCTCTGGGACTAACTCTGAGAAAAGGATCTTTAAACAAGTAGGACCAATTGTTCTCCTCACAAAGGGAGTCATAGCCTCGATGAAGGAAGTAGTTTCTATGAATAAATTAATGTACTTCACAAAAACATACCTGGTCGAAGCTTCTTGAGGAGTAAGTAGGGACAACCTCAATCCCTCAATGGGTCTGGCCGACAAGGAGCATTCAATAGCCTCTGATAGAGTAGAAACCAATCAATGCTGAAAAGTAGCATTCAACCAATGT